CTTTATACCCCGATAAAGTATTACCTTAACGCTCTTAAGGTCGACTATATCCTTTCGATGGTCTCGACGAATCGGATAATACTTAAGAACTATAAGGAAGTTAAAAGACTCCTTAATTTTAAGAAGTACTAGCTTCTAGCTATACTTAAGTAAACGGACGGTTTAAAAGAGAAGGAAGTTTATATATAAGTTAAGCGTAGCTAAGTTAAGTATAATAAGGCTTTAAAGATCCTTCCTAGTAAATACGTCTTTAATAAGAAGTAAGATCTTAAGAAGGACTTTTATAATTAATTTAAGGCTAGAGTAAGATATATAATTTATAGTAACTTTAAGATGACGAGCTAAAGTATATAGGAGGTTTATACGGCGGTCGTTAGCGGTATATTTTTATAAGTCTTCTTCGTAATCGTAACGACTTAAAACCTTAAGTATATCTAAGTAGACTTTAAGCTAATATTTCTTAACTTACTAATCCTTAACGATTACGTTTATTATATCGAGCTCCCGCCTAGGATTATAGTAAAAGAAGAATATATATAACGCCTTAAAAAGGCTTTATATAATCTATACTATACCTTAATTTATTAATACTAAGTTATTACGCTACTTATTAAGTCTTTCGGCTTTACTACGTTCGGAGTAGATACTTACCTTTTTTATAATAAAGAGATAAACGCGATCTTAATCCTATATATCGACGATATACTCCTCGTAGGACTATTTACCGCTAAACTTAAAAGCCTCGTCGTCTTACTCGAGAAGTACTACGATTTAAAGAAGCTCGGTAAACTTAAGTACTTTCTAGGTTTTAATATAGTTAGAGATAAAGCTAACTAAATAATTTTCCTCTCCTAAAAGTCCTTTATAAAAGTAATCTTTAAGAAGTATAATTACCTAGATCTAAAGCCCGTTAATACGTTATAAGCTTTAAAGCTTATACTCCTTAAGGAGTAGGATCCCCTTACCCTTAAGTAGAGATACTATATTAAGGAGACCGGCTTACTTAATTAACTTTTAACTAGTATAAGGGCGGATATTATATATATAGTCTTACGCCTTTACGAAACTAATTTTAAACCCTTAAAAGAGTACCTCGTCCTTAAAAAGTACCTCTTTCGCTACCTCTAAGGTATAAAGTCTATCGGTATCCTTATCGGCGGTAACCTACCGAAAAGGAACCTTAAGCTCCTCGCCTTCGCCGATATAAACTTCGTAAATAACCTTCTTATAAGATTTAGTACTACTAAATACATCGTTTTTATAGCCGGAGCTTTAGTCGTATAAAAGAGTAAAAAGTAAACCTTCGTAACGGCCTTTATAATAAAAGTAAAGTTTATAAATCTTACCCTAGTAGGTTAAGTAATAATCTAGATCCGTAACCTCCTCGATAAGTATTACTAATAGCCTAAGCCGACTATCCTTTATATAAACTTAACGAATACGAAGACGATAGTATTTAACTTTAATAATATAGTAAGAACGAGAACCCTTAATATTCGGTATAAGTAGATTATTAATAAAGTTAAAAAGGGCGAGTTTAACGTAATCTAGATCCCCGGAGAAAAGATAATCGCGGATAAACTTATAAAGCCGTTACTCGCGGATAAGTACGCTAGGTTCGTAAAGATACTCGGCCTTACGGCTAAGCGAATCCCCTAGAAGTAATTCGACGAGGATAGCGAAGGAAAATACTAAAGAAAAACAGATTAAATAGTAGTACGGAGATAAAGATAATATTAAATAGTTAGCTTATAGCTAGGCCTAAGGGGTTATATTAGGCGTAGTCGGGGCTTGCCCTACTAGAGTAACGGACCCTACCGCTTACGGCGCGGCCTATGGATATCCAGGCCTTGGCGAGAGCCGATCCTCTCTTTCTTCCTCTCTTCCGTAGCATCTTCCAGATAGCGAATACACACTATTTACTGCCGTCTTTGTTCACTTATCAGAATTGGTGGCTCTGGCGGTGGGGTGGAGGATGACGGGCCAGACGAAGAGTACCGGCACCTTGAAGACAACAGCGTCGACGGTTAATGTTGTGGTCTCGCCAATGACAACTGGGCTCCGCGGGCCCGAGCCCATACTCGCGGCAGCCGTTGAGCCATCGGGCGCATCATTTCAGTGTCGATGTTGGGGTGTTGCGATCGTTGTCGGGCAACCGTTTTTTGAGGTCAAAGGCGAGATGGACCGGGGACAGGTTGTGCCAGTTGCAGGAGTAGGTGGACTTGGGAGGTGCGCTGGAATTTATGTGTTGACGGGCAAGGGATGACTAAGACACTCTCCCTGTAGGAATTCCACGAGAAGAATTTTGATACGCGCGTGTATCATGCAAGGGCGGAATGGACCGTCGATGTATTGCCTCGCAGTACGGTAAAATACCACCGAGAGAAGAGACCTCGTCGACACCTTGGAGCATACCCCTCAGAGCTTGCCATAGTACCCAGTCCCTACCCCCCCCACCGCCCCGGCTTCTCTGTTGGCTTCTGTCCCGTCACCACACGGCTATTCTGTCAGCAAAGCAACCAAAGACTCCAAAAGGTCAACTTACAAGACCATGTAAAACCTCTGCTCATTCGCCTCCAACTCCCCCTTCACCCTCCCCAAAAGCTCCCTCACCCTGCCCACCTCCCACCCCAGCACATTGCACATCAGCTTCAGACTGATCGCCTCCAGCCCCTGAATCATCTGCAACGAAAACAGAATCCCCAGCTCTTTGAGCGCCCGGTCCTTGGCCCACGTCCCAAACGGCACGTTGAACGTCTGGCTCCGCACGTTCTCGTAGCCCCCCGCCCTCACCCACCCCTCGAGCTTTTCCGCGGGGAACAAGTCCCTCCCGAGCTTCTCACCGGCGTGCACGAGGAGGCTGGTCCACTCCACGATGGCGCTGTGTTCGGGGGGTGTGGGGTCGGCGCAGCGGACGACGGGGTCGAAGCTTTGGAGTTCGAGCCAGCCGCCGGGTTGGGTGTTTCTGTGTGTTGGGCAGGGTCAGCCGGGCGGATGGACGTGATGAACAGAATGGGTTCACGCAACTCGTAGGTGGACTGTATCAGACCGGGCCAGTCGGCGATGGATGTAACGAGACACCGGCCAAAGATGAAGTCGAACGGGGCGCGGCAGGCCCACGGGCTTTCGACGTCGTCGACCTCGAATTTGAGGTTGGATGGGACCCTGGGAGGTGAGCTTGGTGCTGAAGGGACAGGAGGAAAGGCGAGCGTACCAGTGAGACTGGATGGGGCTGAGGTCGTTTCCGATGACCTGTGTCTCCCGTCAGCCTCCCAACCTCAACATGCTGAATGGTGCGGACAAAGAACTGACCTCGGCATTGGGAAAGCTATTCGCAACTTCCATTGCCCCTGCTTTTGCGTCAGCAAGCAAAGAGGAGGAGGCACCACGGGGCCCCTCGACGCACAAACACCAGTCCCTGTCCCCATGTCCAGAATCCTCGAGACCTGGGTCCCATCTATCGGCGCGAGAAACATCCTGTTGCCAATCCTCTTGGTCATGACCTCGTGAAGAAGATCAAGACGAAGCATCTCCTGCTCGTCATTGGGCAGCATGTATTCTGAAGTTGTCAGCGACTCTACCACGGCCACGCCCCCAGCCAGGGCACATACTTCCTGCCCGAAAGGCGTGATAGCGCCGGCCACGCTCCATGGGATAGTCCAGTACCGATTCGCGTAGCGAACTTGTGTATCTGGAGCTGGTTAGAAGACCTTTAGCATCGTATCTGCGAGCGGAGGAGGGGGTGTCTTACAAACCCTCGTCAATGCCCGAGTCTGTGCCGTAACCGTCGTCGTCGTGCTGGGCTCCTGTCAGTTCCGGACCCCCCAGTCCGCGTTGCGAGAATCGATGGAAGCCAACCTCGTCAAGTTCGTCGTGAGAAGAGTCCAGCACCCCTTGAACCTGGCTTCCCTCGACGAACCGGCGACCAGCGCCATCATCAGCCAATACCTGTTGCTTGACAGCCGTCTCCATGTCGTAAATCGTGCTCGGCAATCGTCCTCGTCGCAGTCATAAAAGGTCGTCAAAACACCAACTCAACCGTCCAAAAGAGCCGTGAAAAGCACAAGTGCACGATGACGCCCCGACCCGAAGCCCGGGGGACCGTTCCCCTTCTATGGACCGCCGGATCGCCCTGCATGTGACCGATTTCCCCGGGCAGCCATCACCCAAGCACACATCAAGCTCGCATCGGGAGGGAGAAGCACCGCACACCACAGTACCCAGACTGCCGGGAACGCAGGCCATCGGCGGGGAGAGCCAGACGGAGAAAAGTCCGCGCGACCACCACCGCGGACAGTGCCCGCTACTGTCCGGCACGCGTCTCGTAGAGGGGTGGGCATGCGGCCGCGCCCTGCGAGTGGGCAGCATCGGCAAATCGGTGGGAGAGGCGGGCGTCGTAGGGTCGCAGGCTGCGGGTGCCGCGCCTCTTGGGTGGTCGTCTGGTTTGGGACGGACCGTGTGTGGGCGTCGTCCTCGGGCCGAGAGGGTGGGATTCGGGAAGGGCGTTTGTTCCCGAGCCGGGATTGTTGGTCGCCAGGCGAGCGCATGATCTTGCGTGGTTTTGCTGGGAGAAGTGGACAGGCGCCTGACCCGTGTCGACGGTAATGGTCTTCATTTTTGGTCGTGATGGACGGCCAGTTCCCCTGACAATGAACGTAGACCAAGAGCAAACTTTCCACCGTCCCAGCGCCGGCTCAGCCCGGACGGAGAGAGACCTCGGCTGCCCCGGCCGCAAACTGCTTTGCGGACCGTGCTTGGTTCCTTCTCGACTGTCTCTGCTGCCGGCTTGCTTCCGGTTTCCAGGTCCCGGGGAGAGCGAGGCGCCATCAGTGTCCGAGGTCGATTGTTTGTCAGTCAGATTCCCGGCGATGCGGAACTCTCCGTCGGCATCCCAGACCCCCGGCCGGCATCCCAGACTCTCCGGCCGGCCAACACCCCGGGACGAGATCCATCCTCAAAAAATAGCCCAAAAAAATACACCACACAATCGACGGGAATTGAGCCCGACGTGGGGGTCGAACCCACAACCTTGAGATGTCCACTGTCCACCACGATCAAAGACCGGATGATGGATAAGAGTCTCACGCTCTACCGATTGAGCTAGCCGGGCGGGTTTGATGGTGGGTATTGTTGATGTGGTGGAGTTGGTAGGGGCAGATATCATGGAAAACTCAAACGGTGGGCTGCCAAGAGAGACTGACTCGGCGAAGATTGGGCGGCGCGAGTTCTGGCACGAGGTTGGCATCGTGTTTGGATCAACGATATTGAAGTTTCAAGCCTGCTGTCGTCGGGCTATCAACCTGGATGTCATTCCAGGTTGAACGCGGATGGAAGGGAAGATTCTGGGTCATTGCCCCAGGCGCCTTCCAGCGCAATGGATCCATGGGAAACCTGGGCCCCGCCTTTGGTCCCGGCAGCGGCAGTGGGCGCTGAGTGTTTGGAAATACAGGGCCTCTTGCCCCTGACTTTCAGGCGACCTCTATCAGTCGACGACGACATGGACACCTGGGGGGCAGGCAGCTCCAACTCATGGACCAAAGCAAAAGACGTCTGTCAATATCCACCGCTGTGGGGCTTGGGGGTGGTTGACAACGATTTTCAGTGGGTGACAACTACTATTAAGAAAATAAGGACCCTGTAATGGAATTCCATTGTCAGGGCAAAAGTCATTGTCAAACTAAAAGTTATTATCAGCCTACGCCGATTCTAATTGGTTAATAAGTACAGACTATGTAACAGGGGGTTACCCCCTGGATTTTCTCCCCCCAGCCCACCCCCCGCCCATATTTTACGTACTATAATATATATATACGGTTTATATACTTTAATTAATACTGTATTCTATATACCCCCTCCGCCGCCGCCGCCGCCGCCCTCCGCCCGCTAAGCCAAGCCCCCCTATTCCGCCGCCTACCTAATTTGGCAGTACCGCTTAGTATCCGCGCCTGGCGCTAAAGGTCTGCCAGGGTATAAAGCGCTACGCTAAAGGTAATGTACCGCGCTAGCGATAAACCGCCGCCCCTAGTAATAAACCGCCGACCTTAAAAAATAACCCCTAAATACTTACAGACCCTTAGATACCCTACGAACCCCCTTACGTATATAGCGCCTACCCTAAAGTTACGAAGACAAAGGCTAATACTACGCTAAGGCGCGTAATCGCTAAGCGAAAGAAAAAGAACTATATCGCTGCCATTACTAGAAGTTAGTTTTAACGATACTATAAAGGGTAGAAGATAAAAACCTATATTAAGCCTATAATCTATAGTTGCCCTACGTAGTTAGTATTAATCTATTTAGGTCGATTACGAATATTATTTAGCTACCCGCCCGTATTTTATATAACCTTTTAGTAGTTCTACGACTACCGTAAGAATTAATACTTAAACTATTATTACTAAAGCTAGGGTTAAAGGAAACGGAAACTAACCTCGGACTATCCATCTTTATATAAAGTACGTCGTATTAATACTAACTACCTGTATAAACGGTATCTTAAGAGGGTTATATCTATATCTTCGTAGTAATTCCGTCTACCTACTAAGATAAACGGTTAGTATCTCGGTATACTATACGGAAGACGGAGTATATAATATACCTATATAATACAAGATAATAGGTTATAATATATAATATTCGTAATTATATAGACGGTATAGACGGACTTACCGGTATATTTACTTACCGTTCGTACATTAGAGCGTTAGACTATTAGAGTATATAAACGTCCTAGTCGATCTAAAGAATACCTACCCTACTAACCTTAACTATATAGGGGTATACGGGGCCGATTACTATAATACCGATAATAATAGTATCGGAGAGCTCCTCTATTATCTCTTAGTCTAGGATCTCGTAGCGCGTAAGGGTACGCTTTAGGGGCGTTAGGACGACGAAAATATAGTAGTCTCGGAAGCTACTAAGGACGAAGACGTAGTCGATACGGCTATATTATTAACCGCCGTCGCGGGTAAATTAAACGTAGTTATTACCGCTAAATGTAAAACGGTTATTCGAGTCCCTATAATTAACTAGACGGCTAGAGCCGCCGGGTTATACTTATTAACGTCTTATCGATAGGCTAAGGGGGTATATTAAACGGTAGGTATAAGAAGGGTAGGCTGGATAAGAGAAAAAAAAGGGCTCGATATATTATCGATACGCCTTATACCTATTAAGTATCTCTACTTAATAGGTTCGATAAACCGGGTATAGATATATACGCTTATATATATCTAGCGAACCTATCTATATATATATACGTATATCTGGACTAATTAAAAGATACGAATATTACGATAAGCGTAATATTACTTAGATAAGTATAAGAAACCGACAGGAGTAGTAATAGGAGTAGCGATAGGCGATAGGCGCGAAAATATATACCTATTAGTAAACCTAAATTTCCGTAACTACTAGATATTCTTCTCCTCGAACGCCGATAAGTATTAGTACGCCTTGCCGTAGTCGTACTAGTACGCTAGTCGGAGTAATTAACGGAACGTCGGGGTCGTATTATTAGCCCGACGCGGGAGCGTTTCGCCTACGTTAGTAGCGTACTTACGGTTAGCCTACTCTTAATAAGGGATCTAATTAATTATAAGTAGCGTTAAGTAGGTATCGTTAGCTACCTAGGTAACCTCGAGTTCGTAGTCTTCGTCGTCGGCGGCGAGTTTAAGTCGATCCGTTCGCGATAATACGCGTCGAAAGAGATTAGGCGCTTCCCTGTATATCGACTATATCTCGTTAGTAAGCTCTAGGTCGGTATACTTAAAAGCGTTAAGGAGGACGAGCCGGATTATCTCCTGTACGTTAACCTTTATCAGGAGTACCTTCTCTACGTTCTTATAGTTCGTTTCGTATACTCGCTTCTTAAAGAACCTATAGTATAGTTAGTTAGTATAGCGCGTTTTAAGGGAGTATATAGGGTAGGGGTTTAGGTCGATAACGTTATTGCGTCTAGTCGGCTAAAGGTTTATATAGCGTTACGTTTATACCTACGCGATTCGCGAGATACTATATGTAACGTATACGGTATAGATCTCGATAACCCCGCTACTAGCCGTTACCTACTACTATATCTCTAACCCCGCGGGGTATTAGGTAAGGTGTTTTAGTAGCTTAAATATACCCTTATCGAAGACTTACCGATATAAATTCTCCCTCGTTAGCGTATTAATATTAAACGTTACCCTATACTCTTCTACGTACGTAAGATAGTATACTACTACGTAAATATTTAGACGTAGGGTATCGTTTATATATTATAGCGAGCGACCCGATTCTACGTTATCGACCGTATCTACGATAATAACGGTATCCCTAAGCCCCGCTAGAATAAGCGAACTACCGCCTAAAGTACCCGTTAAACTACGCGACGTTTCCGTAGTAAAAAGGTATAGTTAATTAAATAAATAGCGAGCGTAGTAGATAATCCGGGCTATATTATCGCGCTCGAACTTCTATATCTTTAGCCTTATAAGTATAGACGTACTCCTGGCGATAGCGACCGTTACCTAGATAATTATATCGACTGGATTATCGCCGCCGGTCTTTACTCGAGCTTAGTTATAAAACCTAGCCCGGATATACTTCTTCCTTAGCTACTTTAATAAGAGGGCGGGGATAATAATAATCCAGCGGGTGTAGTCGGATATATTATAGCTTAAAAGATAGTAGATTAGGGATATTAGGCGAGCCTAGTTAGGGGGGAATAGCTAGGTACGTAGTTTAATAGTATATTCCGCCCGTACAGACTTCGTAAGGATACTATCGCGTAAAAGGAAATATATTAGGTTACCGAGCCTATTATACTCCGAATAAGCCGCGTCGAAGGGGCGCGTTATTACTAGGTCTAGCGCTAGCGATAGTACTACTAGTAGGGGTTAAGGATTAGCGATGCCCTATTAAGAGCCGAATCGATTAATATCGGACGCGGTCTTAAGAGTACTAGCTATTATATTCTATATCTCCCTTACTTATATATAGTATCGGCTATATATTATAATATCAAACTTAATTATAACGTCTATATCCGACGCCTTCTAGCCTATAAAGACGAAGTAATAGCGGCAGAACTTATTAGCGCGTAGGCCCTTAAACCCGGAGTTTTCGGCTTATTACGGTATATCCCCTACGTAGTATATTGGAAATACGTATACGAATATCTTATCGCCGTTAATCTCCATCGACATGCCGTCGTTTATATCTACTATCGTTTTAAGAGCCTTAATTACGTCTTCGAAATTAGACGCGTAAGGCCCGAGGATAATCGGAAAGATACTACCAGGTCTGGCACATTCCTCGGATAGCAAACCAGCTAGTATAATATAAAACCCTATTAGTATACGATATAAGTTACGGAATACGCCGAAGCCGTTAATAAAGTCTAAATGTAGGAATAATAGTATACGTCGCGCGCCCGGCCTCGCTTAATCCTATTCGTACTTAAACCGATATCGTCCTTAGTAATTCAGCTCTAACTCGGCGCGAATCGGGTATATGTAGTATAAAGGTACTACCTTATCGCCCCTAATTACTATACGGCGTATAAAATACTATTACTTAGGGGTTTGCTAGGCTTTAAAGGTAGTATCGTTATACTTAGGGAATAAGGCCGCGCTCGCCTTCTAACTTTAACCCCGCGATAGCTTCTACCTAGGATTACTATACTCCTTACCCTAGTATCGATCAACGTACACTAGCTCGTAGGTATAGACGTTATACTTAAGTATATATAAAGGTACCGAACTAATAATTAATTCGGTATCTTCTAGTAATAGGTCTAGTTACCCTAAGTAACCGACGAAGTCGTTTATCTATCGATAACCCTCCTAGATTTAAAGTACTAACTTATCGTCTATAGTATATCGGCGGGCCCTACGATCGAACCTAAACTTATAAACGCGGCCGATATAGATATTAACGATATCGGCGCTATCTTTTCCGATAGTATAGCAGGCGATAGGGAGGCTATACTCTTCCTCGGTATACTAAAAATATACCTAGTCGGATAGGAATATTACTATACCTTTAGAGCCGTTATCTAGAATAACGTAAGGGTACCGCCTAGATATAAAGCGGACCGAAGATAACTAAGCGTACGATTTA